AGAGATGGTTTGCACTAACTTTACTTTTGGTCCTTAGTTTGACCCTGTGCTGTAACGGGGATCAGCCACAACATTATGAGGAAAAAAATGTTTAAATGTGCACTGTGGAACTTTTCTGTTGGATGGTCTGTCATCTGCTTGTCTCCATGGTTATTATGGGTCATTGCATTGCCTGGAATGTCCCACACTATGCAAATTCAATTTACCCACCTCCCTAGAAACAAACTGATGACTCAACCAGGCCAAGTTACAGGTCAGATCAGTGGAGACTAGGTGTTTTGTAGCAATAAAAACATCTGTAACTGAATAAGATGTCTGGATAGGTTTAATGTCTCACTGTGGAACATCCCAGGCAGTAAATTATCCATGAAGATAAGCAAGTGGAGGAGTACAAAATGCATATTTAACATTGAAGCAGAAAAATTAGGATTTGGGTCCAATAACCAGTATCTGTCGCAGGTGTCTTAGTCCTGGTTTAGTCCTCCTGGGTTAGACCTGAGTTACATCTGGGTTAGTCCTGGTTTAGTCCTTGATTAGACCTGGATTGGATCTAGTTTAGTTGTGATTAAGTCCTGGTTTAGTCTTTGGTTAGACCTGATTTAGTGCAGATCTTGTGGGGTTTTCCCAGTCTGCCGTGGTCAGTAAAAGACATGATTGGGTTTAGTCCTGGTTTAGACCCGGTTTAAATCTTGGATTAGACCTGTTTTAGTCCCAGGTGATCATAATGTCTTGGCTGATCAGAATCCTCTCCTGGTGCATTTCAGTCCATGTGAAACTGTAAATGTCTAAATGTCCAGATGTTGTTTATTCTGTAAAAGCTGCAATAAAATAAAACCATGAGACGTCCCTGTGTGTGGATGGGTCTTTTCGTACAGGTGGGACTCTTTTGGCTGTGGACAGGAGACAAACAAAAAAACAACATGCTGCACTCCCATGAAGCATATTCATAAATATTTGGTATCATGATGTTGCTGACAGTTTAAAATTGTTATTAATTATAATTTTAATATTGTGTAAAAGTTCCCTATTTTAACAACTTTTATGTAGTTGTACTTTGTTATGAGTGAAAACAACAGTGGTCTAGAAGAAACCTCAAGTGTCTTTTCTGCATTCTGCTGTTGTAACGGCCAGTCTCTGGAGATTATCACAGTTCTATAAAATGTCTCACCCACGATTAGTCTACTCTTCTTATTATGGTAATCTGTATTATTTGGGGTCTCATCTCTAGCCCCAAAAGGGAGGAGACATGCCCAAGAATGGGGTCCATGAGACGGACACAAAATGAGATAATGATCATTTATTTATAAGTAAATTGTAATCCAGTTAATAAGTTTTACTGATTTAATATTTTAGTTGCCATTATAGCCCTGCAGTTGCAGCCTGAAACTCATCAGATGTTAACCTTTTTTTGTAATGGTAAAATGTAAAAAATCTCACAGATGGCTTTCCTCGTGAGTGCAGTCTTTTGGGAATTTTATCCACAGGTGGCTGGGCGCTAAAGAAGAAGAAAAAGGGTGGATCTGGTCTCTTCCCTCGGCCCTGCAGGTGAGAATCTTTAAACATGAGGTAAACAGAGCAGACAGCAGCTTTGGATCTCACATTGAACACTGTTCACAGCGTTACTCTTCATATGAGCACAAAATGAATCAACAGCATTAAAATGGGAACTCTTTATTTACAATAGTTTACAATAGTTTCACAGAAACAGCTCGCACCACAGTTAGACACTCTCCAAGACCAGGACTAAAGACTGGGATCAAGACCAGAAATGGGACCAGGGTCAGATCAAAGACTTAACAAAGACCTCCTCACAAATATTATTACACTCAAGTCTTCCCAAACCTGTTCTCGGGACCAAGTGCAAATCCTGAGAGATCCGTCTGGAGAATCATTATCAGACCAGCATTATTTATTAGTATTTAATATTATTTAGGAACATTTTTCAACTATTTGAAACCTGCCTGGTCTAGCCCTGGGTCTACTGTAAGCGACTCTAGAATATGGCTTTTAAACAGTCAGAAACCTACACGAACAGGCCTAACAGCAATGGCACAGGAAGAAAAGCTTACACTGGGTTTACGACGAAAAAGTGTCAAGAAATACATCTCCCATAGTCCTTTGCACCGGGATGTAAATACTGATATGACAATGTTGTTAGCAGACTTAAACACGGGAGGTGGTTAGCTTTTGATATGACTTTTAGACAAGAATTCAAATAAAAATGTAAGACAAACTAGTGGTTCTCCACTGGTGGTTTAGGGCCCAACGTGTCATGAAAAATACATTTTTAAAAGATAAAACTACAGGCAGAATTATCTAAATTCAGTGCGAGTAAGGGCGTTTCACACATGCAGTCGGACCCAAAAATGCCCTGCATTTTGGTGTCTTTGTTGATTTCTCAAACATAAGTTTTAAAGTGCATATGACAGGACAAAACTAATTAACAAATTACACTTAAATGAACAGAACATTTGGTGAAGTTTATAATGATACTTCCAGGTTGGATGTAGGCAGCAGATGTGACATACGTAGAGGCAAATCCATAACTGTTACCTAGCAACCATAATGTACATTAGGGCCAAAACATGTCTTTGTTACACAATAGTTATGATTAGACAAATAAAAATAAATTCCAATGGCTGCGTGAATTGTCTCTGCATTTTAGATGACATTTTCTGATGACATTGGTAGATGGATTCCTTTTTAGAGAACTAGGCTCTACTTCCTGTAATTTCCCCCCCACGTATTTTCTTGTATTCACAAACCACTGCTTATCTGATGTAAAACACACATAAACATTAGCCAGATACTATTCCACCAAACCAAGTCAGAATGAGAAAAACATGAAAACCTGCTGTATGCACTTTAAAGTGTTTGTTTGTTTGTTTTTTTCCCAGCGTGATGTATGAAGCATCAATATTCTACAACTGTAATATTGTCAGTATTCAGAAGATTCCCCCTCATGTCCCAGCCCCACCAGTGGAGAAGCACTGCCACAGTTGGACAGTGTTTGGCTGGAAGACCATTGGTTTGTGTCGGCTCAGAGCCACGCTGATAATCTTAAATAACGAAAACATTTCACAAACTTTGTTCTATTATTTTTTGATGATACTTTTAAACTTTCAGCACCATCTTGAGCAAAATACACATTTCTTTTTATCAAAATTCGAACCAATTTGTATGTAACATTGACATTGAGGCATTTCCAGAGCAACCGTTAAATTAAAACAGAAAATATTATTAAAGCTCCCATATTATTCGAAACTGGCTTTCAAAATTTAACAAATGTTACATCTGAACCACAAAGAAATCTCTCTGTAGCAGTTTTGTTGAAGTTGGTCCTGGTTTAGTCCTAGTTTTAAACCCTGGTTTAGTCTTAACTTTAGTCTGTGTTTAGTCCTGGTTCAGTACAGCTCTTGTGGGCTCTGCAGTGGGAACATTTAGTCTCTGGTCTACTTTCTGGTTTAGTCCTGCTTTTGCTTATCTGGATTTTAAGTTCTGTTTTTTCCTAGTCCTGCACTGTGGTGTGTTCATTGTCTGCAGAGGCATATCCATCACATATGGTTTAGTCCCGTCTTTTTTTTTTTTTTTAAGTGCCAAGTTTCCAAGTCTACAGCTAAAATCCTTCTAAACTCCTGGCCAAGAAGACCAGGTCCTGGTTTAGTCCTGCTCTTGTGGCATCCTTATTACATACGACTTTGAACCAGGGACTAGGGACAAGACCAGGACTAAAAACCCGGGACTAGAACCACAGCCATCACTGACTACACTAGAAATGCTAGTGATGCTAAATAGCCTTTTCAACGTACCCCTTTCATCATTCTCTTCCAACAGGAGAATATATGGATATATGTTATACATTTGAAGTTCTAAAACAACTTCATTCACTTTGAAAAGCCAAAATAAAGTATAATATGAGAGCTTAAGGTGAAAAACAAAGTGCAAACCATTTTTTCCTACAAATCCCAGCATGCACCAGGGTCAGGGTGGCAGTTACAAGGGGGAGGGGCTTCTCTATGGCAGTTCCAGTGTTCGTTGATGAGAACTCCCTCCCCGAAAATGTTAGCGGCTTGTTGCTATGCTAATGTTTATGGACAAACGTTGACGTACACGTGTGATTGCCGTACGCACAGAGTCACTGGGATCCAAAATGGCTTCCGACAAACAGGAAGTCCTTAGATTTAGGTCCATAATCGAAAAGTGGTTTTGAGGAGAGAAGGAGGAGCGGGAAAACTGGACCAAAGAAGTAATATAGACCTACAACTTTTAAAATGATTACAAAAAAAGTGACACATTTGTGTTTGTAAGTACAAAAGCCTAAAGCCAATTTGCTTTATAAACTGTGCTACATAATTTTTCTTGAGGGGGGCTATTGCCTTGCCATGTTACACAGTATAGCTTTAACCTCATCTATGTTCATGGCGACAAGCAGATAATGCCACCAGGCCAAGCTCTAAAATCTGTGGAAAGGGAGCCTACTCACAGTAAGAATGTAAGTTTTTTAAGGTATTTTGCAGTAACTTTGCTCTCATCAGTGTAGAAGCTCTCACTGAAAACAATCAGCACCAGTGAACAGTGAGAGTTCAAAGAAAGACTTCATGCTGACTGGGGATTTTTTCACTATTGATTCCTGCTCAAATGAGTTTCTAGTTTCGATTCTAGTTTTAGTATAGATTAGTAAACAATTTTCTAATTTTGGACAACCCTAAAGCTCCCTCTAAAAAAATGCATTTGTCTAAAAATAAATATTTAAATTGTCTTTTAATCTGAATAGAACAGTTTTCCGTTTATCACAGTTTAATAATACTTTTGGGAAGAACAATTCAAATTTGTGCACATGTTGCTTGTGTAGGTTTACATTTCCTTATGAGGCCCAACTTTCACACTTGGAGGGAGGAGGGAGACCTGAACTGGGGCAGAAGGGGGCAGCACCGAGTCCATCCCACGGTTGGGGTTCACCTTTGACCCCATGCGCCTCTACGGCGCCTTCTTCAGTCCAGCATGTGCTTTTTGGGTCCGACTCGTGAGCGGTTGGACCTGCGAGCGTCCTGCCCTGCCCCTCCCGCCCCTGTCGGCTCGGCCCCTGGCCCTGATGCCCTCCCGAGGCCTCGCGCCCGGCAGCTCTGGCACACGTAGGTCTCGGGCACGTGGCTCTTACGGATCTTGGCGCAGGACAGGTGGATCCAGGTGTTACAGGTGTTGCACTCGATCATGGCTCTGCCCGCAAACGGCTTCATGCAGAAACACGTCACCAAGTCCCACGAGTCATCATCTGGAGAGTGACATAGAGAAAGAGAGAGAAAGAGAGAAAGAAAGAGTGTTTAGGAGAGGGGAGTTTATAAAATGTTCTGCAATTCAGCATTAATCCTGCTTTTAAAAGTCACAAGGAACACCATAGAAATGGGTTTTGACATTTTGTATCTTATTTAGATTAGAGATTTTAGTCTGGATCAGATACACAGATATGTGAGAGCTTTGGCCACGCCCCCTTTTTAGTCACTCAATCGATTATGTATTTAGTAGAGGGATACTGCTTGTCGCTATGGTATTTACTCAGAAACATTTAGACATGATTTACTTGAGATCTGTAGTGAAATGCCATACAGGCTAGACAAATGTACAGACGAAATAAACCACAACTTATGTATTTGAAGAGAAAACATGGTTAACAGCTCTAAAAGCCCAAAGTGTGTTGTGTGTCAGGTTTTTCTCAGCCATTTGTAGCACAAAAAATTCAGTTAAAAACGTTGATCTTAAATTATGTATAATGTAAAGTTACTAGTGGAAAGTTCACTACCTGCTTGTCTCCATGGAGATGTTATTACTTACTGAAATAGCATGAATACCATGGTTAAGTTTAGAGCATTGTGTGTGTAGGCCTGTCATGATAAATACTGTATCAGTTCAAAGTTAGGTGGAACGATCATTGTTGGCGGGTCAATATTTGTTGTGGGCACTTTTTCGTAAAACTCATTGGGAACTTTGTGATTTAATTGTTCTAGGTTTAGATTTGAGCTGTAGAGGCTTGAATACATAACATCACTCATGATAAATACAAACTAATACTAAGGTGTTATTCTGCTATTTATCTACTGCATCTTATGGTTTTTAACATGTCAAGTTAGAAACATTGTTAAATATATACAATATTTAATAGTGCTATACATTTAGAATAGTTTGTTAGGGAGATAATGAATTAGTTTCAACATTATCGTTTATTGTCTATATATTTTATTCAGCAATATATTGTACTTCAGAATGTTGGGAAATTGTGAGCGGCCTACCTGAGTCCACCATGATGTCTTCGTCCTCTCCAGACCCGTCTTCGTCCCTGAATACCACCTGTTTGCCCTGTCTGAACACCGTCCTGTTACTGGGCAAGCCCTCCACCTTCTGCACCACACCGTCCTGCAGGTCCCACCCACGCCTCTCTTCGCCCGGGTACTGCCCCCTCTGAAACTCCCCCTCCTCCTTATACCCCGAGGATGAGTGGGCAGGGCTGGGCAGGGCGATGCTGATGTCATCGTCAGGCTCGTCTTTGATTGGTCGGCCGCACTGCAGCTCAGGTATAGGTGAGTGAGTGTCTCCAGGTAAGTGCTCCTTTCGTCTCTTCTTCTTTTTCAGTTTGTCGACTTTTCTGCGCTCGTCTGGGTGAAAGGAGCTGACAGTGAGCTGTGAAAATAAAATAAAAGATTATGCCACAATTTTAATTTTTTGGGGTAAAATAATGGGTTTAGTATTGAGAATCCATAAGGATTTTCATTACTAACCATAAGGAGGGTCTGAATAGGGCCCTGGAGAGATTGCTAAATTACTCAAAAATGCATAGATGACATCTAAAACCTCTTCAAGCATGTTTTTGTTAGGGAACAATGTTATAACATGGTACAAAGCTTAATTTTTTATTTTTTTTTTAAAGCTGATTTTGTGTAATTCATTTAACCATCTCACTCTGCTCCCGACTGTATAGCTGACCTCTTTTTTAGGGTGTGCAGGCAGAGCGCCACCTGGCTGTGGTCGCTTCCTGTTACGGTCCTGTGTGGGGACCTTGTTGGCACGTGGGGGGCAGGGGGCAGAGGGTCCCGGGGTCCAGCCGTCACTGTCTGCTGTGCTGCCGGTGCTGTTGGGGGGACTGGAGCTACTGCGCACGGGAGAGTCCTGGAAGGCAACAAGAGCATATAAGTAACTCAAATTCAACTCATTTAGAAAGCAGATAGACAGGCCTTCACGACAGCAAATTTTGAAGCATGGTACACTATCGAAGAAAATATAGACAATAAACAATAAAAATGACACTAATTTATGCCACTGACACAAAAACCCTACAGCAGTGTTATCCTCAAAAAATACTCTGAATGAGTTAAAAACCACAAACTGCAATAGATAAACAGCAGAATGAAACACTTTAGAAATTTGTTTGTAACTATAGTGACTTTAATCGTAGAATAGGAATAGTTTCCCCTCATTGAAAGAAAAAACCTATGATAAATACTGACCCCTAAAAGTTCGATCTATTGTATTTTGAACAAAAAGTTGATTTGGTAATTATCGTGACCCACACATACGGCTGTCAAATATGCCAAAAAACAAAGTCACAGTTCATTGGCTCATAACTGAAAGCATGATTATATCAAACTGTTACCTCTATTTTGTCAAAAATCTACCTGTAGGAAAGGTAGAGACCTTATATAATTTAATAGTAACAGAATGTAATTAAGTTTTTTTTTTTTTTCATTACATGTTTGTAATTGAATAGCGCAATAATTGAAATCATGATTATAAATTTGATTACAAACTTATAAACTGAAATCTTCCAAAGTACTGCAAAAAACATTTTAAAAAATGTCAACCAGGGCTCATAAAAATTACATTACATTGTATAACAAAGAGAATTAAAACTGCATTTCAGAACTTTCTCTTGAAAAGTAATGTAAATATAAGGTAAAATCAAATTATAAAACATTCCATTGAATGCAAACCTGTATGTTTCTATATGATGCTTTGTGCTGAAAGCTGATTGGCTGTGAGGGAGGTCCATCTACTTCATTTCTGTCTGAAAAACCTGTTCTAAAGCTGCTTACGCGTCTTAAAACTCATGCATGTGAATACTAGCAATGTGACAAAAGGTTTGGGAGAAACAGAAACAAGTAAAGTTCCAATATCTCCTTCTTTGTGGTTTGAAATATCTGGTATCTGAGCTTTAACAATAAAAGCTCTCCTGAAATAATGCCCCTGTGATTAAATTCAAACTGTTTAAACTAAACGGTTTACAAAGCCTTCTCTGGCAATTAATGAAGGGCACAAACACACAACAACATATGTAGAAAATAATTATTACAAAGAAGCTTGATTTAATCATTACACAGTTCCACAGTATTTTTCATAGTATTTTTTCATAGTGTGAGTGTGTGGTCTCAGCTGCAACCAAATTAAAATATGTACTGTATCATAACCCAAGAGGTTTATTGACAGTTACCTCAACTTTTGTTTAAAAGGAAGACTTGCACCAACCAAAGTCAATACATCTGTGATAAGCCTCAGGACAAATAAAGACCAGTAGCAGTATAAGAGAATTTTACAAACAAGTGCTGAAACTAAAATACACACTGGCCAACAGCCAAGAGATACATTCTGGTCAGCTTTAATTCAATGTTCATTCATTTATTTTATACCAGCCAAAAAGACTAATTCAAGTTATTTCTGACTTAACTGGGCTGAAAGTACTACATTAAAAGTGCTACACTAAAACATGAGTAAAATAAACATTAAAACATCACTTTACTCTGTAACATTTGTGAAGCAAAGTGTCTTTTCAGTCTCTGAAGTTCAGTGTACAGAACTGTGCCATGTCAATAAAAAAAACTAAGGTGTTCTGTCAAAAAATGTTTTTAACCATGGAAATCCACTGTATTTCGGACAGTAGTGCAAAACTCTCCTAGATATACTAGTCAAATACCATTAAAAAGTAAACGAAGGTGCAGTGGAACAACCCACTGGGTCACTTCTGGTAAAGACATCTGTGTCTGAATGCACTCTAAGATTAATATTCAGCATCTTAAAATCTGCATTAGTTTAACATTAGGCTCACTGAAAATGCTGTTTTGTGATGTCACAAACCGAGCTCTATTAGGACATACATACAACTGTGGGTTAGTATCAATACCAAGTGTATAATGTTGTGTGATGTATCTGGCAAAGAAAAGTAGTTGTTGTCATTAGTGCTTAATAATGTAAATACTGTTCCTCTACTGCTGTTGTATACTACTTACACATGACATCTCTATCTCGCAGTCGACTGTGCAAAGTTATTATATAATAATAGTAATAGTAATAGAAGTCTTAGAATAGAATCTTTGAGCACACATGAGAAATATGAAAACATATTTATGTGTGTTCATTCACTCATGTGTGTTCGTTCACTCACCTCCTGTGGATATGGGATGTAGCCGGCATAGGCCAACACAAAAGTGCAGAACTTGTTGAAGTCTTCGACAGTCCTCCTCCTCCGATACTGCGGACTGAAACCCTGTCAAAACACGATCAAACGTTACAAATCCACACAATTCAACACTCAGTTAACTAGAAACACATTTAAAACAACTACCGTTAACGTCACTATTGTACAAATTACAATGCAAGGTAAAGAGAGCTCTTCATTGTCATTAAAACACAGGCGCACACACATTTATCATAGATTTGACAGTAGCGTCATAGTAGCAGCTAACATATGCTCAAAAATAACTTTAATAACAATATTCCCAGGCAAAATGACACGCAAAACGACAATGTGGACAATGTTATGCTAATTTAAGTCTTAAGCTTTGTGATAAACGGTACGAGCGTTTCTGTACAGGTCAAACAAAATTCCTACCAACCCCCACCAAGGATTGCCAAGTTAGCTAATATAATGCTAGCGATGAAAACACAACTGAAGCTAATGCTAAAACATGAGGTGTATCTTCCTCCAACTTTATTGACAAATAAAATCAAAACATTAAATAGAAAGTGTGCACCAAAACCACTAAATATCCACGGTCATTTTCAAATGCAATCGTTTGGTTTTGCAGTTTATTGGCGAATTCGGCACAAAGCGTGTGTGATGCGAGGCTAGTCAATTTTAGCATTGCGGCTACGGTGATGGAATGTCTAGTTTGATCCATCAATAAAGTGAAACATTTGACAAAGTATTTAGTTTGATTTAGGACAGCGAGTAGCAATTATAAAAGGTAAATACATAGCATAAGCGAATCTCGATGTCACTTACTTCAAACTTGTGTCGTTTGTGCAGCTAAAGTCAAAATTAGCATTGGGAGCTACTGGATGACAAGTTGACGTTTGCCTTGCTAGCCGCGTCAAATCGTGCAGCGCCGTGCAAAAAAGAATAGTTGAAGTAAAGTCTTACCTCGGGTTGAAATGTATGAGATGTGGATGGGGTTATGTCACCCATTTTCACTGAATGTCCCAGGTCTGTTTAGCGGCACTTCCACGACGTGACAGCCGAGTTTTGCGAGCCCAAACACGGTCAGAAGAGGCTAGCAGCGATGGATCGGTGGCTAAAACTAGAAGCAACAGTGTCCCTTCGCTGGAGATTGGTGAAATAAGTGCACAAAGCGTGGATAAAAGGAGGAAAGGCGTCGCCTGAAGGTTGTAAAGGCGTATCCAGAGCAGAGCACACGGCTGGAGGATAGTTAGTAGCACCGATGCGCGCCGCTCGTCCTGCCCGGGTACAGTAGAGTGTTGTGGGGGAGCTTCTGTCACAGCTGCCCGTCTCCTCCGGATCTTGTTCTGAGGAGAAGGACAGCACCATGCGCCCTCCGATGGTCCAAACAGAGAGTGCCATGCTCTTGGTTTTGTATCTTGTACTGTTTTCAGCCACTGTTATTCTAAAATAAATATGTAGCTCTGTTCAAAATGGCATTATTATTTCAATTAAGAGCATCACTTGAATAAAAGTTTGAGTAACGTGTTTCTTACTCTCCCTTTAATAATAAAAACACTCATAGGTACATAAATGTAGCAGTAAGTAGATACAAGTAATAAGATAAATATAAATTAACAATAAATTAATAAATACATGCCAAAATTAATGGAAATAAATTTAGAAATAAATCAGTAACAGGCATGTAAATAATAGACAAATGCACGTTTCCATTATTATGACCAGAATGTATAATACATGTATAATACATTTATTTATTTGTAGTAATCATGTGCAGTACTGTAACATAATTTAAATCTTACTGGTGCAATCTATCCAAGTCATTTTACCTCCTCAGTATTTATGTAATTTGTCCCAATGCTGCACTGCTGAGAACCAAATTAAAGCCACTAAGTACAAATACTAAAATATAGGCTACTGAAATCACTTTATCTGGTGTTTGTTCTTGTCCATAAGTTGCACCATTTATAATAAGTCAGAGCCCTTTATTCAGAGTGTTGTAGCCTTAAAGCCACTCTGTTGACAAGGTGTTGTATTAGGTTCTGTCTGTTGTAAACCTTTGTAATATAATTTCTTCTTTCTATCATCTTAATTTTGATGTAATTTTCCTATTTTCCAGTTATTCTTGAACATTGCGTTGCAACACTTGAATTTCCCTGTTGTGGGGATCATCTTGATCATCATCTTGATTATGTTTATTTTTAATTCATCATTCATATCCTTTATTTATTCAATTCTGTCAACTGGACAAAAGTTATTTTTTTCTTTTTTTTCCCCAATTATTTCCAATTATGTCATTTTTGGCCTATACACCTCTCCTCCGTGTATAATACACAAAACTGACTCTTTGAGCATTAAGATATTACAATGCTGGTACCTCATCACAAACATGACTGAAGTTGTGTTTTGTTTCATTCACACATGTTTGAGTAACTCTTTATTATTAGTCGTTCTGCATTTCCAACATTTCCAACTCCTTTTACCTTTAATTCAGTAGAGATTGGCAGCTGTAGGGTTGAAATATCCAAATCACTCTAGTGAAGGTGTATGGAGCTTAAAAACACAGTGGAGCACTTCCTGTATCACAAAGTGGAACAGAATGTTTTCAGTTTGAAAGAAGAACTCGTCCTGAATCTGCAGGTTTGTGTGTTAAACATGTGAATGAAACAAAACACAACTCCAGGTGTGTTTGTAATGAGGAAACATTAGAACAGATCAGAAAATCGTGTAATATGGTCGCTTTAAAATGCAATTTAATTTCTCCACCAGATTTCGACAGTGGCCCGGTGTGGCCTGTGGGGGGCGCGCTTGAGCAGCGTGTAACCGCTGCTCTTCCGCCGCTGGTTCGAGTCCAGCGCGGGGTTAGCATTAGCATAGTTAGCCTCTGTCCCACACACGTGAATAAACGAAGAATTAAAGGGATTAAAACAAGAAAACTACAAAAACGGCAAACAAAAATGACTACGGAGCCTCTCGAACACTTCCGTACTTTCATCACGGAGAGTTTTACCGCCGTAGCTGTCAATATTTTTAGCGAAGTGCAAAATCTGGTGCAATGTTACGAGGATGAAAACAAACGACTGCAGAGTCTGCTCAAGTCAGTGCTGCAACCGCAAGTGCATCTCTGTAGGATCGGTACGGAGCTAAGAAATACGCAATCATGTGGTTATATCGGATCAGACAGGATTAAAGGTTGCAAATCGTTTTAAAGCTATATATATCTTTTTTTTTAAGTTAGTTAAAAATAGCATATATTATTTACTTTGTATTTGGTTGATCTACTACTCCACACAGCACCTATATACGCATACTGTTTGGATACACGATGAGAAACAGGAATTAACATGTTACTTAATCCAATTTAAATTTAATTACATTGTTATACCATCTGTAGTAACTTCCATTATTTTGTACTTTCTAATGAAATCAGCGAAGCCAGCTGAATTTACTTGAGAGACTATATTTACTTCAAACTACAAACCATCAAGTCTTTGCCAATGGGACATCCCTGGTTTGGGGTGGTTGAAAATAATACAGTTGTGAAACGAGTGCGTAATTAAAGAACATTGTTGCACTGAGCCCATTCACAATTAATCTGTGAGTCAGTATAGTCACATCTTCTTTGTGTTTTGGTCATTTTTAAGCGTTTTTTTCTGTAGTTTACTGAAACAAATGGCAGTCTGTGCCACTCTTAACTGTTGGTAGGAATCAAATTGGTCAAAAATAAGGACACCTGGGACAATGGGACAAATCAGTGGTTTTGTATAAATCTGCTGGGACACGGGACACAGGGCTCAAAACTGGGACTGTCCCAGGTAAATAGGGATGTCTGGTCACCCTACTCTACTTACTACCAAGTCATTAACTTTTTTTTGGAACTAAACTGGATTTATCAGCAGGCTTTGCACACTTCTAATTTGTGCGGTCTGTGCAGGCCCTGTGTTTTAGGTAATGTTGATTACTGTACTCAAAAAGTACTTCAAAACGTGACTTGAATACCCTTTACATATGGTATAAGCCCAAATCATTTAACTTTATATGTATTTGCTGCAAAACTGAAATGAGGATATTAATGGTCATTTAGGTCCTGTTATGTCACTCTGTCTCCTTTGGATCTGTGTAAAATCTACTAACCCTGTAGTTTAGATGTCTGCAAACATGTACTGAGATGTCCTCATGTGTGTCAGATGCAGGGCTGGGCAATTAATCAAATTCATTCTATTAATTTGGATTTTTAATAATCTTGTGTAAACTTGTGACATTGAGGATTATTATGAAACAAGATTACTCCTGATTTTGTTACTTGCAAAGCAGGGGCCAGGGCATTGGTTGATTAATATTAGATATCTTTACAAATGTAATTTAAGGTGGATTACATTTTCTTTAATAATAGTATATGATAAGAATGAAAATGTAAAGAGCTTCTCCCATTTGACAAACCATCAATCTTGCTCTGACTGTGATCAAAATCGATTCAAATCATAATGTCCTGTGTGTGTTCTGTGTCCAGTTATTTTTTTGGCCAGTGGAGCTCCCTGTGTCTCCATTGGAGTCTTATTCTGTGTAAACGCTGCTGGCTGAGGGGTAGTCCAGACCTCTACAAACATGTTCTGAAGTACATGAGATTCTTGGATTAGTTTAGCACCTCAAGTCTTCTTCCTTCTCGCTCCTTGATGGGTTTAAAATATGACCTATGACCCAAAACCTTGCCATGGAGATCTGCAATTTAAAAAAAGTTATATCTTTTGAATGGGTAAAAAGTCCTAAAAATTTTGCCAATAATAGACAATTTTATCCCACAAATATAAATCGTTTTTGTCCTTTTACATTACAGTTTAATCAGACCTAAATTGTCTCCTTACAGATGTGGGTTCCAGTTACCCAGCCCTCAGAGAGTGCGCTCCTGGAGCTCAGAGCAGAGCTGTGTTCTCTGACACCGGTTTGATGGAGCTCAAAGAGGAGCAGACGGAGTGTGTGATCAGCGATGACGTCATGGACCAGGTCAAAACCGAGCCAGAGACCATCTGCATCTTGAACTCGCACAGGTCTCTCACATTTACCATGGTGTATTAGGGTGGTCCACAAAATAATGTTTTTTAAACATTTTAAAGTTTCAAACTTCTTTCCTCCCATTGTTTTATTTGAGTGAAAAATATTCCATGTAAAATATCAGCCTGATTGATTAATATTTAGAGGTAGCTCAAGCACACAAAAGTTTTGCTCAGAGTCATCATTTGGCGTTCATATTGTTACTTGTAAAAACAGTCTTAAATGATGACAAATTTGTATAAGAGATAAATACAGTGTATTTAAATGAAAATTTGAATACAGAATAAGCTTTGATTTTGTATAATTGCTTTATGGTTTTATTGCTGTTTTTCTTCAGTGATTTCCACTCAGAGAAGAGTGAAAGAATCTTTTCAATCCCATGATCCTTTCTGATTATTGGGATTCTGCCAGAAGCTTATGACTTCTTCCCAAGTGATGGCGGCACTTGTCTTAGTCTCTTAGCGGCAGGAGCTCAGTTGGTAGAGTAGAGATTGTCCATTGACCTACAGGTTGGTGGTGTGATTCCAGCTCCCACAGATGAATGCTGTTGTTGTGTCTTTGGGCAAGACACTTAACCCACCTCCCCCCTAGTGTGTGCGTACCCTGGTGTGTAAATATGTGTGTGAAGGTGGAAAAGTGTTGTATAAAAATGTGACCGAAAATGTGACCAGCGCTATATAAAATGTGACCATAAAAATACATCATAAACACGACAATGGAGAAACACGCGGAGCACCTGGCCACGTGAGGACTATTTGCTTTCAAATATCTGCTCCTCTGACTTAGACATCAAACAGAGGCACCTTACAGACATCTTAAGAATGACTGTGGCTCTTTGTAAAGGGAACTTTGAGAGAGTTTCAGATTAAAAAGTTTTCTCTGAAAAAAAAAAAATTCAAGTAATCAAGTAAATTCATGTGTAACCAGTAGCCAAAGTAAGGTCGAGCTTGAGCTCCCCCTAAACATTTACTAATCAAGCTAAAACGTTCCAGTTCAAGTTATTTTTTCCATGGGTAGACTCACTTAAGAACTTAGGAGATAAACTATCTAGAACTTTAATTTGTTTGAACCACCTTCACCTGTTGTAGTTCCAGCTAAGTCAGTTCTTTATGGTCAGGTTGAGTTAAAACAAAGCTCAGATTAAAGTCTAACTAATAAAATGATTCCTCAGTTTTTTGCGCCACTAGTTGTTGATGACCTCTTTGAACAACAGACTGGTTCTACAAGACAAGACATGTTTTTGACACAATTTACAATAAATACATTGTGTGGTTCAGAGTTGATCTCACACTTTTAGATTTATTTAAATGTACAGTTTGTAACTTTCTGGAGGAGTCAGCTGCTTGATTCCATGGAATGAAACTAAACTAAACTTCTGAACATTTTCCATGGAGATAGATATATTTTATGCCATGCTGTAGAATGTTCTAGCCAAAGGAACAACACTTCTTTGGAAACAAGCAGGAAGAAGCCCTGCACCAGGCCAAATATGAGTCAGGTCTGTGCCAAAATTGACCAAAAGACTGAAATCTGAACTAACAAACTAATGTAAGAATCACATTTCAGAGCATGTTTGTACAGATCTAAACACAGGGTTAGACGTTTTTATGCACAATTAGGGGAGAGTGTGTTGTTTGTGGAGGGAATGATGGTACTTTAAAAAAAAAAAAAAAATCTAATCTATTCTCTCTTTTTGAAATTCTTTTCCAGTACTTTAGAGCTGAGTGACACTCCCTGCTCTTCGGCCGCAGTTTCAGCTTCAACGTCAGTGATCGAAGACGACAACATTGAAAATGGAGAGGGGGAGGGAGGAAATGGTGAAGATGAAGAGGAGGAAGAGATAGAAGAGGAGGTCAATGAAAACAGAGAGGATCAAGAGCCAAGTACATCCCAAGAGACAGAGGTGAACTAAAACAACACAAATGACTATGTTACATGTTTTACTAATCCACAACAAAACTAATAAGTAAATCCTCCATAATTCGATATTTCACAGTGATATTTTGATATTTTGGGAAGGGCTTGATCTATATCAGCTTAAAGTGGACCTATTCTGCAGGATAAACTCTTCAGAGCTTTTAACCATGTTAGTGGTTTTCCCCTAAACATTTACGCTCAGATTTGTATTTGGAGTGCCTTGTGCATGCTGGAGCAATCTTTAATTGCTTATTTACACTGCTCTGTACTTACTTCATTCCACAAGTTAATTTTCTTAATCTGTGATATGTGTACGATGCAGCAGAGTTGCAACTGCATGCAGCTTTTTAGGAAGTCAGCGGACTTGTTTAGTTGTTTTAGATCAATCTATTGTATATAATTAAAAATTTACAGGTGTCATAGATTTCAAGCACAATGTCCTCCTGGTAGAATTCTAATGATGTTTTATTCTCCAGCCTTCGCCACAGAAAACTCTGCTGGAATGTCCAAGGTCAGAATCACTTCATCAATTTGCTTCTCTTACTGACATTTCAAATGACCTTTTAATGTGAAAATATTTCTTCTTTTTAGGTTCAAGAAGCCGGACAACACTTTTCTCCCCACTCCCAGTGAATACAAGGCTTTTATCTCTCGCCAGACTGAACTCTATAAAGACATGCCAGCAGAACAGCGCCCCCTAATCACGCTCATGGGGCTAGACGAGGACGTGGAGTTTGTGGAGTGTGCCCTGGGTGAAGTCCCTAAAGGATGCCCCCTCTCCTACCATCACCCTCTGCCCTCTAAGAAAGACTTCAAACCACTAGACAATACTCCTCCACAACCTCGACTCCCCCTGCAGAGCCACACGGTCCCATCATCCACCATTCCCCCTCTACTGGAAAACCAACTGGGAATCATCAACAGCATGGCCCTAACATGGGAGGCTGCTTATACACTGGAACAATCTACTCGCCAAGACAAAGCAGTCACCAGCAGTGTTAAGAATGGACGACTGTTCGACTGTTTTAAAGACTTATTTTCAATTAAAGATGCAGAAGGTAGCGCAGAAAAACTAGTGGCTAAGCTAAAACGCGGTAAACGCCGGTGTAAGCAAGCGACTATTGAAAAGGAGCTACGGATGGAAGCTGTGCGTGAATATTGTCAGCTCATTTGTGTAAACTGGTATCCGTGTGGGGTTGTAGTGCATCCAGGCGCTCCCTGGATCGCGGCGCATCCACACGGCTTGGTGTATGATCCCAATGAGGAAATCTCCTTTGGGATTTTACATGTGAAGTGTGAGCATTTGCGCAGCTTCACTGAGAGTACATATATGGTGTGTAAAGAGGGTACGCCTCGGCTAAACCCCTGGACTCCCACTTATTGGCACATTCAGGGGGAGCTGATGGTGACGGGGACTGCGTGGTGTGACCTCCTCCTGTTCTGTGGAGAGGACATGTTGATTCAGAGAGTTTACAGAGACGAAGCGCTGATCAACACACTCAAACACAAAATGGACGCCTTCTTTTTCAAACACTACCTGCCCAACCTGTATCAGAACCTGGACCAGGACTAAAACCAGGATTGAAACCAGGGCGAAAACCAAGACAAAAAACTGGAAAACTAAGGCTGAAACAAGGACAAAAAATAAAACTCAAACCTGGACTGAACCTGGACTGAACTAGGATTTCCTTCTCATTTCCTCCACATTTGAATGACCGGAACAAAACTGAGTTTGACTAGGACTAAATCAGATCTAAAACAGGAATTTCTTAGATTCTTCAATTTCAAAACTCAACTAGGACTAAACCTAGACTAAAAGTAAAAATCAGGACTGGACCCAACCAAAATCTTTATGGTCTTTGATGATACTCAACACTAAACCAGGACTAAGGATTAGGGCAGGATTACATCTCTTCCATTCTGTCCATTATCATGTTCTGAACTGAATCAGGTTAAAAACTGAATTAAACAAAGTCTACAAATGTCTGACTATGGACTAAACCAGGATCGGTTGTGAATCAGCACTAAACCTGGACATTTGTTTTTTAGTTCCTACTAAAGTGATTCAGTGATATTTTTAAATAGCACAAACTCTGTGCAATGTAAATGTTTTCTCTGAATTCATTTCTCTGAAGTCATGTCTCTGACAGTTGTAGTGTGATTTCAGTGTTATTGTCTTTTCTGTTTAACCCCTGTAGAGGGCGCTGTCTCTCCTCAGCTGGACAGCCACATGTTTCTCTGGTTGCCAAATTATACTTGTTTGCCTCACTTTGGACCAAAACTAACTAAAACGGCAGGGCACTGATTATGGTAAAATCCTTCAAGTAATTCAGTCAACCTTTGTACAAAGTAAATGTATGTACATTGTAAGTTCATAATAAAGCTCTATTTTTTTACATGTTTGAAAATGTTTAAATTTAGTCCAGTTTTTTTAGGCAGTGTGTATTTAGTTACAATACTGTTGTCACTACTTCAAAAATAATACCTGAGTAGAAGTACAAAGTTGTGATCCAAGAAAACATAAAATGTATATAGTTGTTTTCCCTGAGTTCAGGAAGAGAAACAGCAGGGACGTAACATCTGATTTAGAATTTGAAGTTAATGTAATTGGGTCAAGACAAAAGATGAAATAAGTCATAAAATCTGTTATTTCCAAACAGACACAAAAATGAGACAAACTAAATCATGTGAAGGAGCTGCAAGACACACAAATGTTCAGATCATTTCAGATTGTCACATAAAACTTTTGTCACTTTAGACTCATTTACAGAGGGAAGAAGAAGCACAACTTTTACTCAAGTAAGAGTACTGTTACACTGTTCTATATAGTACTCAAGTAAGAGTACTGTTACACTGTTCTATATAGTAATCAAGTTGTAGTTAAAGTATGGTGTCTAGTAAAATGGTAATTATATCAGAATCCATAAGTTTCAGAACGATGAAAAGTCAGGATCACTGACACTGACAGCAATTCACCAATTCAAACAGAATATATCTGTTGTCTGACATTCCCTGGTGTGTGACACTTATTGAAAGCTCTAACTCTGCTCTGTCTGATGCTCTTTTGTTCAAACTTAGTTTTAACACAGTCTGACCAGAAAGAACAAACTTATTTAAACTTCAACAGGGAAGCATATTTGTGCTGTTAAATAAATAATATTACAGTCACAAGTTCACTACCATCAGCCTGTTTGTTGTGTGTTGTTTAATTTTTTTTTTCTTGTAGTAGTAAAAGTCTAATAGTCTTTGCTATTGTGTCACCATGGTAACTGCTGAACATTCTGCCATAGAAGTACATGTAGAACAGCCCCAGCCTGATGTCAGAGCAAAGCATCAATAACAGGAAGCTGAACCCATGTTTTATTGTCATTGTCAGGGAAAAAAATTCACAAACAGGAACTTGCATTGGCGTTATGGTGCGACAACAATAAATATAAACTATGTTCAAATAAAAAATAAGGACATGCATTAAAAGAAGGTAAAAAACAAACAAACAAACTTTAGATGTACAATTTAAAATATAACACATGTATAAATAGTTACAGTATGGGCAGAACAGAGCAAAACTGTCAGTGCAAGTAGGTTAATTACAATTGTACAAATATCAATAAATACTGACCATGTGAAATTAGAAAGCCAATCAATAGGCTATTAGCTTGATTTATTATTAAAACATTAATAGCATGGCATATAATCTAAAATAAAAGACATTCCGGTATATTATTAGCAATCCTTTTAACCACACTTTAATGTGCTAAAGTGACTTATCATGGAAGTGTAATTAAGCTCAAAGTTTATCTGCTCCACGAGGCTGGATCTTCCGTTCCAATCTGGCAACCACACCTATCTCGCGTCTGACGTAAACCCGATGTGCATATTTTACTGAAGAGAACCACAACATCTTTATTATAACGTGTTTCGTCTCGATTAGGGACGATTGTGCGGTTTTTAGCATGCATTAGTCAATTTTATACTCGTTTTTCTTTTCTTAAGCTGATCCATTTGGTGTTTTACGCAGCGGATGCAGTTGTTTTGAATGCTCTTTATCTCTCTGGCTCCTCGGCGCTGGCTCGGCTCGCTTCTCTCGTGTTTTTTGCGGTAGTTTTGGGTGATTTTTGGTGATTATGGCGATCAACAAGACGTATTTGAGTATTGGGTATGCGTCCGTGGGTGCGCTCGTGGGGTTTTCTGCGTTTTTGGTTTGGAACATTGCGTACAGCCAGCCGTGGACCGCAGCCATGGGAGGGCTCTCAGGTAAACACAAGATATCTGGACATCTCTCTGCGAGTTTAAGCTGGTTTTGAGTAAATACATGTTTTTTAAGAGTTCCTTTTATCAAGATTTAGTTTAAAGTGTCCATATTTACAGGTCTGTGTTATAATGTTTCTCAATCAAAAACATCTGCAGCTTTGTTGTTTCAGTCACATGTTTCACACACAAATCCTGCACATTTAGGCTGAGTTCTTCTCTCAAACAGAAAACACTGTTCCACAATGTGATGTCATGAAGTGATCCAGGAAGCGCTCCACTGCGTTTTTAAACTTCCACACACCTTCACCAGAATCGCTTGGTTAATTTTAGCTCCAAATATTTGTCCAAATCCTGTCCCTTGTGGAGGATTAAAGCTTGTCTACGTCTAACTCTGGAATTGCCCATCTCTACTGAATTACAGGAAAAAGAGTTCCACTTGAAAACTACTCATGACATCACAAGGTGTAATAGAGCATTTTGAGTTTTGGAGATGTAGACAGACTGATAATAAAGGGTAACTCAAACATCCTATCCACGTCTGTTTTTGAGGATGTAACAACATTATAACATGGTTTAAAGCTCACAAGAGGCACTTTTGCATAATACCCATAAAAATATGAGTTTATTGTAATTCCATGTTCACGATGGCGGTCACTTCAGAACAGTGACGGCTTCTTTAAAGAAAGACATTTATTTTTAAGATGCATTCTTTTATATACAGTATTAGTGCTTTGTCAACCCCTTTATAAACAGTATCAGAAGAAACAACAATCACTCCCTTGATAAACAGTATCAGACACAACTTGTTTGTATTGTAATGTTATTCCAGTGATCATTTTCTTCTCCAGAGACAGCATGGCCAGTGCGTTTAGTTTGTCCTGACCCATGGTGTTTTTCAGAAATGTTTTAATTCTTTTAAAGGATTAGAAGCACCTTTCAGCCTTTGCAGTGGTCATGGGTGTGGTGATGATCATTTTTAACAGTTTTACTCCTGAAAAACATGTAACCCTCAGCAAAGACTTGCAGAAGAACTACGGCTCCCTGAAATGCTCTCAGTTCCTCCTGGCTGCAGATGACGCCCAGCTCAGTGTTCAGCCTGTTTCCAGTGAGGGCAGGGTAGGCCTTTAAAATGATGGTCAGAGCCTGCTCAGGGAATGTCCTGCTGTATTCTTCAAACCTGTGACTGAAGCAGGGTTGCACTGATGAGATGGTCTGTAAAGGAAAAAACATTCTCTTATGTGCCCCAAGATGGTGTCACAAGTTCAGAATATAATAAATAATAATAATAAAACATTAATTGGACATCCATTATTAACCATGCAGTAATCAGCAAGATAATACATGTATAACTCAGAGTTTGTTGTTTAAAATTATCTCTACACATCTCTGCAGAGAAGTCGGTACACATAGGCCAATATTACATGATTCTATTGAGTACAGTCTGTCTTTATGGTTGACTAGATTATGTAACTCAGGCTTAGTATGAACTGGACTTTGACTCGGGATGATCATATTTCCATGTCTGACCTCAAAAGACTTCACAGTTATAAGTCTGTTAGTTTAGACCAGGACTAGACCGGGACTAAACTGAGCCCAATAAAGACTAAACCAAGTGCGGGCACACACCCCAACACCCAGTAAGCACCGCTTTAGTCTTGGGCTAACCAGGGACTAAACCTTTTCCTGTCACAGAAATTCTTGCAACTAGAATGCAAACCTCACACTTCCTGATTCTCAGACAATAAAGTCTAAAACTTAATAATTAGATGCAGACAGTTCACAGCGGATTCACTTTTTTTACACTTTACTCAGATACATGGAGAATGTTAGTCAGAATTGGAGAAATAACTTCATTATAAAATCACTGGTTTATAGACCAAACTTTATAGATTCAGCTGCTGTTGAAATCTTATCTTTGAGTCATGTGACCTCAGTGTGAAACCCTCTGCTCAGTCATTCTTTGTGTCACGTTTTTTTTTTCTTTGTTTTTTTGTCAAAGTTTCATAAAAAGCAGAAACTAAAATGTGACTCTTCAGATTTGAAAAACGCAGTGTCATGATTTCAACTGAAGAGGTTTGAGTAACAGTGACATCAGCACTTTGGATAGAGACCGTTTTTCACACGGGACTCAGAGCGTCACTGTCAGCAGAGGAGGAGCTCTTGTACTGTGCTTATTTTGCACAATGAATGCATTTCATCACAGTTACATCGCTGTGTTAACTGATCCACCAAAACTTTACTGTCAACTTCAAAAAGTACAAGGAGTTAACTTGCCTATCCTGCATTTAATCACTTACAGCTCAAAAATACCACGTAAAAAACACACATTGTTACTGTGAGCCTCTCCACAGATCTGACCTGTGACACAAACAGACCAGTAACACGTTTTCATGTTTCTGTAATTATTACTTGGTCATAGTTTTACATCAGTGAAGAAAAGTACAAAAATACAGGAAATGTGGGTGAATTATAAATAGAATCCCTCTGCCTCTGTGTCATCAACAGGAAAACTCCATCCACTCCATCCAACTGACAGTTTACGCACAACTCACAATTTCTGACACTTTATTGAACTGAATAAAACTGTTGTCATTTATGTTTATTAGTCAAATCAGAACTATTGATCTTAGGCCTGTTTACAGTAACACAAGTAATGGAGTTATGTCATTTGCCCTTGTCCAAGCAGGAAGTGAAATAATAAACTTCACAAATGAGTCTAAACTTGGTTAAATTTGGACAAAATCTTAATTATACATGAGTACATTTTAGTGAAGTGGGTAGTTTTAGTTGTGCTTTTTTCATGTTTTTATACTGTCGTGTGTCTGTCCCTGTCAGGTGTGCTGGCCCTGTGGACTCTCATCACTCACGTCATGTACCTGCAGGACTTCTGGAGGACCTGGTTAAAAGGACTCAAATTCTTCTTCTGCATCGGAGCCGTGTTTTCCCTCATCGCCGTCATCGCTTTTATCACCTTTCTCTCCATCGCAATCCACACCAAAGCATGTGAGTATCCTCTGCTCCATCTCCTCTTCTCCTCTGTCCTTCTCCTCTGTCCTTCTCCTCTGACCCCTTCTCTGTCCTTCTCCTCTGACCCTCTCCTCTGTCCTTCTCCTCTGACCCCTTCTCTGTCCTTCTCCTCTGACCCCTCCTCTGTCCTTCTCCTCTGACCCTCTCCTCTGTCCTTCTCCTCTGTCCTTCTCCTCTGACCCTCTCCTCTGTCCCTCTCCTCTGTCCTTCTCCTCTGACCCCTCTTCTGTCCTTCTCCTCTGACCCTCTCCTCTGTCCTTCTCCTCTGACCCCTTCTCTGTCCTTCTCCTCTGACCCTCTCCTCTGTCCTTCTCCTCTGACCCCTTCTCTGTCCTTCTCCTCTGACCCTCTCCTCTGTCCTTCTCCTCTGACCCCTTCTCTGTCCTTCTCCTCTGACCCCTCCGCTGTCCTTCTCCTCTGACCCTCTCCTCTGTCCCTCTCCTCTGACCCCTCTTCTGTCCTTCTGACCCCCTCTTCTGACCCTCTCCTCTGTCCTTCTCCTCTGACCCCTCCTCTGTTCTTCTCCTCCTCTGTTCTTCTGACCCCCTCTTCTGACCCTCTCCTCTGTCCTTCTCCTCTGACCCCTCTTCTGTGCTTCTGACCCCCTCTTCTGACCCTCTCCTCTGTCCTTCTCCTCTGACCCCTCTTCTGTCCTTCTGACCCCCTCTTCTGACCCTCTCCTCTGTCCTTCTCCTCTGACCCCTCCTGTCCTTCTCCTCTGACCCCTCCTCTGTTCTTCTCCTCCTCTGTTCTACTGACCCCCTCTTCTGACCCTCTCCTCTGTCCTTCTCCTCTGACCCCTCTTCTGTCCTTCTTCTCTGACCCTTCCTCTGTCCTTCTCCTCTGACCCCTCCTCTGTTCTTCTCCTCTGTTCCTCTGACCCCTCTTCTGTCCTTCTCCTCTGACCCTTCCTCTGTTCTTCTCCTCTGACCCTCTCCTCTGACCCCTCTTCTGTCCTTCTCCTCTGACCCCTCTTCTGTCCTTCTCCTCTGACCCCTCTTCTGTCCTTCTCCTCTGTTATTCTGACCCCTTCCTCTGACCCTCTCCTCTGTCCTTCTCCTCTGACCCTCCTCTGTCCTTCTCCTCTGTTCTTCTGACCCCCTCCTCTGACCCTTCCTCTGTTCTTCTCCTCTGACCCCTCTTCTGTCCTTCTCCTCTGACCCCTCTTCTGTCCTTCTCCTCTGACCCCTCCTCTGTCCTTCTCCTCTGTTCTTCTGACCCCCTCCTCTGACCCTCTCCTTTGTCCTTCTCCTCTGACCCTCTCCTCTGTTCTTCTCCTCTGACCCCTCCAGTGTTGCAGTGCACAGCAAGACATGA